TCTCAGGAAGTGGGAAAGGGCCTGTTGTCCGGGCTGTGGCAGGGATGGGAAGGACAGAGGTCCCGAGGCGGCAGCAGGGCGGGGCCGCGGGGCGGGGGAGGAAAGGCCAGGCCGGCAGCGACGCTAAACCCCACACCCCTCCCAGCGCCCCCTGGGCGCCACGCCCTCGCACTGATCACAGGCTCCAGTGTGTGTGTGTGGCTCCCCCGGGAGTTCCTCAGGAGCCCCCCCAGGGCAGGGCAAGGGCCCTGAAGAGAAGTGCTGGGTAGGAGGCGGCTTTGAAGGTCTGACACAAGCAGGGCACTTGCCTGGGGTTGTTCCTCACGCCTGAGCCTTTAGCTTCCTCCTCTTTAAAATGGGGACAATCCCTGGAGCTGTTATAAGAATGAAATGAGAAAAATCCTGTACAGCATTTCGCAACGCCCCGCCCTTCAGAAGGCCTTGGAGAGGAGCTCCCCATGGATTGTCTCGGCGAAGTCTCTTACCAGGTGGCTGCAGCTTACCCCTCCAAACCGGCCCTTCCAGGGGGGGGGGTGGGGCGGGGGGGGGGAAGCCTCCACATACTCCCCACCCCCTCAGGCCACCGCCGCAGCCTCCCCTGCCTCCAACATCAGAGACACCACAGGGCATCCTTTCCACCTGCCCTTGGGCTCTACCCTCCTGATACCAGGAGACAGCTCCAACCTGACTCCGCTCCTGGCACCTCCTCCTCCTCTTCCAGCCACCTCCTCAGCCCACCAGGCCTCTCCACTCCCACCTGCCCTGGCCTGCAGCACCCTGGCGCCTCATCTGCTGACCTCCTCCGGGGCATCTGTCCTGACCGCTTACTCCTCCAGTTCGCTCCTGCACCAGCTCCTGGAGCCCATCCTCTCCACTCACCCCCATAATTCTGCCATGTGCCTTGGAGCACCCGTTATGATCCTCTTCTCCGTCACAGGCGTCCCACCCACTCCCATGGGTTCACCACCTCGTTGGACACCATCTCCCATTGTTATCCATGGCCTAAGACACCCTCCCTGCCCAGGCCCCTCCACAGAACCAGTGCCTTGTAGCCATCTGAAGCGGGCATCCTGGGGGCTCTCAAATATACCTCCAAACCCAACCCTGTCACCCTGCCCCTACACCTTGGTCAAGGGTGACACCCCCGCCAGGCTCTTTGCCTCCCTGTCCCCCATCCAATTGATCCCAATTCTGCTCAATTCTGCACCCACTGCCTTGTGGGTGCCCTGCCTTAGGGGGGGCTCGGCAGCCCCTCACTTGCCACTCCAGTCTCCTGGGTGGTCCCCTTGCCCTCACCATAGCCTCGGCCCCACTGAGCTGGACTGGCCTTCTGGAGATGTCACTGTCTCCCTGTCCCTCCCCTAAACCGGTGAAAATCCTTCAGGACTCCACCACACAAAGCAGCCGGCTGTCTTAGGAAGAGGCTCACCTGCTCTTGGCCTCCCCAGCCCTCAGATCTGCATGAAACATGGCTCCCAGGCCTGGCTGCCTACAGGTGGGTGGTCACTGAAGCTCCCTTCTGGGGGCTGGGGGCTGCGCCTGGCTGGAAGTTTCAGGGAAGGGTTAGGCCAGACCCCCAGGCCAATACTGGCACCTTTGAAGGGGGCACAGCGTGGCCATTAGGATCAGGCTTCATATCCTGGCTGACACTTATTAGCTGGGTGACCTTGGGTAAGTCACTTCTCTGTTCCTCAGTTTCCCCATCAGCAGGTGGTAGTGGTGCTTTGCTTTGCAGGGTGGTGGTGGAGTGAGCGAATGCATGAGAAATGTGTGGGGCAGCAGGGCTCTGTGCACTCTGGCCATCTTGTACCATCATTCCCAGCAGCCCCGGGCCTCACAGCCTCTGACTCCATGGCCCTCCTTGAGCTGCAGTCCTGGGCCTCCTGCTCCCCGTGGGGGTGGCCCAAGACCCTAGGGCTCAATGATGTGATGACAACAGTGTTTAGCAACCAGCAGAGAGTGGGCGTGCCGTGCAGGGGGCTGGCCCTGACCTTAGCATTTGCATGTCCATGGTGTAAATAACCCTGCCCTGTCCAGTTTCCAGCTGCTGTGGACATGGTGTTGGGAAGAGGTGCTCGGCGGCACACCAGGGTATGACGTCTCCACCACACAGCTACAAAAGGTGTGGACAATCTCAAAAGCAGAAATGATAGTCAAGCGTGAACACATCATCAGGAAGTGGTTGTGTTGCATATTTCCTTTGCTCTTTTGACATACTTTGTGAGCATACGTAATTTAATTTTTAATGATGGCTATGCTTGACTGCCCCATGACATGACTGAAATGTGGACAGCTGGCTCTCCCAAGCAGGTCCAAATTGGCCCCAGACCTCCATGATGCCATGCTGTACGCTCTTGTCCAGGGCACCAGGAGCTGCTCTGAGAACTCTGTGGGGCTGGCATCAGCCTGCCTTCTCGTCCCAGGTGTCACTCTTTGGAACATCATGTTTAAGCAGGGGTTGCCTCTGGGTTTCTCTGTGTAGCCCATGTTCAATCCTAGGGACCCTCACTCCTGGCCCCTTGGTCTGCTAGTCACCTCCCACTCAAGGTTAAAAAGCACAGGGTTTCTAGCCAGGTGTGGTGGCATGCACCTGTAGTCTCAGCTACTCAGGAGGCTGAGGCAGGAGAACTGCTTGAACCTGGGAGTCGGAGGTTGCAGTGAGCAGAAATTGGACTACTGCATTCCAGCCTGGGAGACAGAGTGGGACTCCGTCTCAAAAACAAAACAAAACAAAACAAAAAAACACAAAGCCCAAGGTCTCAGTGGCTTACAAGCGCGTTTAGGTCTTGCTCATGCTGCATGTCTGTCATGGGCTGACTGATGGCAGCTCTGGGCAAGTCATCTCCACTCTGAGATCCAAGTTGAAGGCACAGCCCTTATTTGGGACACTTCCTGTCTCCTGGAAGAGATAAAAGTGAACCTTGGAACATCATGCTGACTCTGCAGGTTTCTCCTTAGAGGTGGCACCCCTCATTCATGCTCCCGTCACTGACCAAAGCAAATCACATGGCCGAGCCTGGTGCAAAGGTGTGTGGAGTGCCGCGCCCTCTGGGGAGGGGCAGTACACATTTCAGGCAGGAGGAATGTCTACTTTGGCTGCTCTATTATTACTCAGCCCCTCCTACAAACTGGAGGTCATGCAGGGGTTTCACACATGACCCTGGCCTGCTGTCCCAGGTGTCGTCACCCCCAGCTGGGCCAGAGTCCTCCATTCAGAGCCTGGTGAGTGGGGGCCATTTTGAAAGCGTAGAGACTAGCTAAACCCGGCAGGCACCAAATCTCAATCATTCTTGGCCACAGCCCACTCTGTTCATCCACCCACTGACAACCCCATCCCCATGAGCCCCAGAAACCCGCCATCCATGGCCTCCAGTCTCTCCTAATCCCAGCCTCCTCCCACAGCCTCCAGTCTCTCCTAATCCCAGCCTCCTCCTCCCTTGTTTCCACACTCTCCTGATCTCAGCCTCCTCCCCTGGCCTCCAGTCTCTCCTAATCCCAGCCTCCTCCTCCTCCCATGGCCTCCACACTGTCCTAATCCCAGCCTCCTCCCCTGGCCTCCACGCTGTCCTAATCCCAGCCTCCTCACTCTCCTAATCCCAGCCTCCTCTCTGAATGGGTTGCCTCCTCCTGTGCTGGGCGTTCTCTGTAGACTCAAATTATCCACCTCCATCCTGCTCCTCCCACAATGCCCACCCACAGCAGGGCCCTCGGATCCACCAAGGCCCTGGTCATCCTGCCCCTCCCTTCTTCATGCCTCCCTCCCTGCCCAGTTACAATCCCCAAGTCTTGTCGATTTTAACCCCAGAATGTCCCGCAAATCCTCCACTCCTCTCCATCCCATTGTCCTGCCCTGGTCTGGCCTCGGTCACCACCAAAGGTCTCCTAACTGGGCCTGAGAATTTTTCCTTTCTCCCTTTTCATCCATTCTTTGCACTGAAGCCAGATGGCCTGAGAGAGGCCATCTTTTCCTGGTCTCCCTCCCGTTGAAAGTGCCCTCTTGACGTGAAGTCGCCCCACTGTCCAGACGCTCCTCTCTCCCCTGCCCATGGCTCAGTCCTCAACCCTCTTGTTCGTCGGCCACAGCTCCAATCAACATCTCTGGGTGGACACTCACTTCCTCTCCTGCCCACTCAGATTCCCAGCTGGCTGGTGGATATCTGCCTGCAGAGATGCCTGGGCAACCCCAACTTAATGCGTTCCACATCCACATCCAAACTCCTGATTGCTGCCCTCCCGGCCCCCTCCCTCTCTCTCCACTCCTGACTGCTGCCCTCCCAAACCCTTCCCTCCTTCTCGAGAGCCCCATCCTTGGGCCTCCTCATTACATGGTCTCCAGCTGCCACACCAGCTCTGCCGTCCTCCTCTCCCTCAGCTCCACAGGCCATCATGGGGCCCTCCCCACCTCCTGCTCCCAACACCACCATCCTGGTTCTCCTTCCCAAGTGCTGAGCACAGGGCCCTGGAAAGCGCACCCTGAGACTGTGAGAATGAGCCGCCGTTTGCCTCAGCCGTTCACTCATCCAACAGTGATTTATTGAACACCATGGACCAGGCATGGTGCACAGCAGCTGGGATGCGGCGCTGAACAAGAGATGAGCCCCCCGCCCTGGATGGACTCATATCCCAGCAGGGGTAAACAGCCAGTCACTTCAGAAACCAAATCTCTGGTCCGTCAGAGTGCCACAGGAAAGTTACACTAAGCAAGGGCAGGCAGTGCCAGGCAGGGGTGCCACTGCACAGGGTGAGGGGGAGGCCCTCCTCCCTGGAGAGGGCGGCATGATCCTAGTGGGCCGAGGTCAACCACCAGTGCCAAATGGAACACAGCTCACACTCTCAGGAAGATATCCCAAATCAAAATCCTGGGACTTTCTTTTTTTTTTTTTTTATAAATTAGAGACAGGTTTCACCATATTGGTCAGGCTAGTCTTGAACTCCTGACCTCAGATCCACCTCCCTCGGCCTCCCAAAGTGCTGGGATTACAAGCGTGAGCCACCACACCCAGCTGGGACTTTGTTTCTTAACCTTTAAACTGGAAACACTTCTTGCTACCAGGATGGGGCCTGGAGCATGCAGCATGGGGCTCGGTGTTTGGGGAAACAGAGTGGGTGTCTTTTGCTGAACAGACTTTTGTTTTCTTAAGTTTTGAACTACATGAATGTATTTCCTTTTTTGAAAGGAAAAATTGAAATAGGAAAGAATTTTAAGTCTTTTGGAAAGAATTAATCATTTTCATGGAACTACTTCCCTATAGGGGGCCTGTTTTCACATCTGCCAACTTCTGCTGAAAGACTGCAGATGGAGAGAAGGGAGAGTCGTAACCCTGAAGATGGCATTCACCAGCCTGCCAGCGCCAATGCCACCATGCTGGCATGTGAGTACGGCGCACCCTGGGCTAACAATTACCACAGTGAGACTGGCCCCCTGTTACGGGAGGGGAGACTCAGGAAGGTGAAAATCAGAACATCTGCCAGGAGCCGACAAATCCTTCTGGGACTCTCATACCTCAGAGACTCTCCAGTTTGGCTATTGCTAAACATGGACTAGCCCCACCTCTGATCTGAATACTCATGCCAATCATTGCTGCATCCTATTTGGAACGCCCTTACTAAAGACTGGTCCACAAGATGAGATTTAGCTGTGCTGGTTCAAACCTGGCTCCCCTGCTGTCTTTTCTGGTGAAGCTGGGCGAAGAGGGTTTTACCAAGTGGGCTCCACGGTGGTGGAGGCGGTGGGGAGAGAAGGCTGGCTCTATATGTGGCAGAGGCCTGAATAAACAAGGATCTGAGAGGGCTCAAGATACCCTGAGTTACTCCTCAATGTGGCAAGTAGGGGGCCATGGCCAGGCCTAGCAGAAAGGGGGCTGTTTGGGGTAGGGCCCAGCAGGGCGCTATGTGATCAGGTAGAAGTAGGAAATGGGTTACTGTCCTGTAACTATTCCATATATCACAAAGCCACTGACTGCAGTCTCCGCAGATGCAGGCTGCTAGTCCGATGAGAGACTCAAAGAATGAGGCAGTCCTGTTCCTAGTTTCAGCCAGTGCATGTCATGTCCAGGCCCCAGAAGGGCGACACCAGCTCAGGTTCCCACCCTCCAGAAGCTGGCACAGGTGGCAGTGGGTTTCCTATGGAGGCAGCTCATTCATAACGCATAATGAACCTTCTGTTCCCGTCAGGAGAATATATTTTAAACTGGAGAAGAGTCATAATTCTGGGATGTTCCACATGTTGTCAGCTTTAACCTTCTACAGTCACAGGACCTCGCCTCTGTGAGGAGGAACCATTGGCATGTGTGGGTGTGGAGGGTCCCTTTCCCTATTAGCAGGAATGTGGTCTGTGCTAGCTTTATGATTTGGATTGTGTCCTGCACATAACACCTGTGAGAACAGAAGTGGGACTGGGGCAGTGCAGGAAGCGTCTTCTTCATGAGGTGGTAATCAAAAGGTTTGGCAATACAAGAGGATTCTGGAGGCCGGGCATGGAAGCTCATGCCTGTAACGCCAGTACTTTGGCAGGCCGAGGCGGCTGGATCGCTTGAGGTCAGGAGTTCGAGACCAGCCTGGCCAACATGGTGAAACCCTCTATCTACTAAAAATATAAAAACTAGCCAAGTGTGGTGGTGGATTCCTGTAATCCCAGCTACTGGGAAGGCTGAGGCAGGAGAATTGCTTGAACCTGGGAGGTGGAGGTTCCAGTGAGCTGAGATCCTGCCACTGCCACTCCAGCCTGGACAGCAGAGCAAGACTTTATCTCAAAGAAACACAAAAGGATTCTGAGTATAACAATCTCAGTAAAGCCAGCGGGTGACTCTGGTTCTCCTAAAATCCTGTCCTTACTTGCCACTCACCACATCCCCAGATCTGTAGGGCCAGCCCTTTTCTACCTGCCTCTGACCCCTCACCAGCAAGGGAAGGCCATGGGATCTCAGAAGCCTGTGGTGCTAAGGATGAAGACTCTAGTGAGAGAAGGGGCTCGGCCCTAGTGAGGAGGTTCTGGGAAGCAGGACACCCCCTTGGGAGCGCCCGTGTGAGAGGTAAAGGTCCAAGTGGCTTGGGCACGCTGACTTCCTGCTGAGGAAGGCAGGGCCCCTCACATCTGCAGTGGCCGTGTGCATCAGAGAGCGGCATGGCTGCAAATGTGAGAACTGGGTCAACAGGAATCCCGTCCCCATTCCATGTCAAACAGTCTTCCCAAGACACAAAGATTCTGGGATCTGAGGCTTCCCTCTTCTAAGGCTCAAAATGGGTTCTGTTTCCAGACGTGCTCATCTTTGCTTGCCTTAAGGACTCAATTTCAGCCCAATCCTTGACCCTCAGACAAACTGGGACAGGTTGGGAACTTTAATGTTGAGATCGCCAATGTTGATGTTCCGAGGAATCTCAGGCAGGTTGATGTTTTTCACGGCAGACACGGCCCGTGCAGGGGCTGCTGAAAGGCCACCCTGAGAAGAAATGAGAGGTGAGTATCAGACAAATTCTCAGTGTTATCTGCTTAATGCTGAAAACAAAAAAAAAAAAAAAAGCAAAAACAAAACAAACAAGCAAACAAAATAACAGGTGAGGGATCCCTAGAAAAATTCTAAACTGAGCACATACAACAGAAGTTTTAATTCCTCCCCCCCCTTATTCCTCAAAAGTAGCCAACAAAACGATCTTGAGGTTAGATGGGGTTTGGCGCAGGGATGCAAGGCCTGCAGTCCCACCAGACACCCGATCCTCAGAGGGGGGTGTGGCCCGTGCAGTTTCACAGCACCAGCATCTCACAGTGCCTGGTACATGGTGGGTGCTCAATAAATGCTGAAATCATCTCAGGTGGTTTGTCAGGGGCACTTTTTGCAAGAGACTGAAGACTCTTATTGAAAAGTGCAAAGTCACAGGGAAATTCTTAAAAGGAAAAGGAAAGTCACAGCTCTAGAGCAACTGCTTGCCAACTAACGTGCGATGAAGAGAGCTGGCTTTGGACGTGTCATGTGGCAACAAGCTGGGGGTCAGTAACATGCAGAAGGTGGGGGTCACAGATACAGAAGGGCTGGTGACAAAGTGCAAAGAGTACGGACATCTACAGCCAATCCCACCTGCCAGGCTCACCCTCATGTGGGGAGAAGGGGAAAGGTGGATGAAGACTGTCACAATCCTTCTTCCCCTATTGCTTTCTTTCCTAATACCAACTCCGATTCCGCCCTCACCCAGCAAGTCTCCATTCCTTCTCATTTCTAACCCTCTTGCCTCTGACTCACTTACTACTATTCCTGGAATCTTCCCAGCCTACATTTCTGAAAGAACTATAGCTGCCACAATAGCTGTGGTCTGGAAAAGCTTCTTCAGCAGGACTGCCAGTCCTCACAGAAAGAAGAATTCCTGGTTTCGCAAGATCAAGTTCCGTTATACAAGGCAAAGAAGCTCTTTAAGACACTCAGATAATTAAAGAGGTAATTTGGTCAGCTATTTCTGCATGTGAAAGTATACATGTGTAACCTCTGCACCCTGGTAAGGCTAAGGAAGGGGATGGAGAGACCTCAGAGGGAAGGGACAGAATTCACATGAACATCTGTACCAAAACCAGCACCATGTGGGGGTGGACTGGGGTATGTTATTTCCAAACCTAGCCCAGACTCTACTGTTGTTTTTTATAAGGCTAACTGGAAATAAGGAAACTGGCAACTCTGAGGTCTGAAAGACACCACGAGAAATGGCTGCTGGGAGATGAGACTCAGAGAGCACAGAAACTAGGAAACCACACTGCAATAGAAGGAGAGGGCTCTGGGTCCCTCCAGGGAGCCAGCGGCTTTGAAAGGAGGAATTACAAACCACAAACATGGGCCATAGCCCCCAGGCCAGAATCTGTGTGCCTTCCTCTGCCATCTGGCTTTTCCATTCACTCTTCTACCCTGGAAGTCTGAGGTTTCAATCCTTGTTACCTGTTCAATTTTCGAGGCTGGTTGACCTTCAAATCTATCAGTTTCAATGGACTCAAGGAAGAAAGAAGATGAGTATAAAACATTTCCTGAGGTTTCACAGCAACATAAACCAACATATATACACCCTTCTGCTTTTGCCCAGATTTTCTCTAACCAGCCAGGGCTAGAGCACAGCTGCTTGCTCACCTCGGATTTCTCCAGCCTGTTTTGAGCTTCAATCTGAGCCACGATTTCATTCATGTTTGTTTCCAACACCATCCCACCCATTACCACCTCCTGGAGGATGTAGTGTACCTAAAGGGGAAGCAGAAACCAGAAGAGTCAGGAAAGTCTGTGGTGGTCACGGTGTAGCCCACAAGGTTTCCTCGTCCTGCAGCAGCAGAGTGGTCAGATACGACACCAGGGCCTGATTCACAACTCAGACACTCAAGCCCTCCTGCTCATCCACCTCTTCAGGGATACCACAAGGGGTCCCTCCCAGGTCTTGGCATATCACATGAATCTCTCCCCTCAGCAGGGATAGAAGTAGATGCCTGGCTACACTCAAGGCAGAGGTGGTAGCACGAGCACACAGCTCTTGTTTAAATTCCGGCTCTGCTACTTGCTACCTGGGTGGCCCTGGGCAAATTATCTTTAAAGTGCTTCAGCTTCCTTCCAGGATTGCAGTGAGGGCTGGATGAGATAAATGTGTGTAGGGCACCTAGCCTGGTACCCAGGACACACTGTGTTCTAAGGAAGAAATGATGGCTTTCACTATTAATATTATCACCATCTACACTGACTGTCATTAAGTAGTAGGTCCAGCTATGACAGAATAATCCCTGTCCAAGCAGCTGAAATGAACGTCTCCCACCTTCCACAAGGCAGATCCTCCAGCCTGGGCTCCAATGGAGGGACGTGATCAGAGCAAGATAGAGCCCAATTCCTTTGCAGCCATCCTTACCTCATTTCTTACCACTTAGATTAGAAAGCAAATTCAGCATAAACACCTTTCTAAGCATGAGGCTCACCTTTGGGCTCAGGTTCCACCCAGCTAGTGGTCCAACAAAGCCGAATCTCAGCGTACCAGTGTGTTCAGTCAAGTTGGTAAGATAGCAAGTACAACCTTCTATTATTAACTAATTGCCAAATGATTGGGATAGTCCTAGGGGAGGTCAGAGAAGAAAGGGAACAGTGGCTAGAGAGATGAGAGAGCTTCACAGAGACAGTGGGAGGGCTGAAGCTGGGCTCTGACCTCAGAGAAGCAGGGAAAAAAAGTTCAGGTAGAAGGCATTGGAAGGAGCAGTTCAGCTGGCGTATGGGCAGGTATGCGGAGCTCCTGGATCTGGCTGGGATGGCAACTTTATTTACGCAAGAGAGAGGCTAAGACAAGGCTGAGAATATAGTTTGGGTTGAGAATATAGTTTCTGGAACAGGGCTTCTCAGCCAGGTGCTAGTGACATTTGGGGCTGGATAATCCTCTGCTGTGGGGCTGTGCTGTCACTGTGGCCTGTTCACTAGCATCCCTGGTCTCTACTCATTAGGTGCTAGTGGCACTCCTCCAGCTTGGCCATCAAAAATGTCTCCAGAAGTGTCATATGTGTTTCGCGGTCAGACTCACCCCAGCTGAGAACCACTGGTCTAGGGTCTAGAGGCAACCAGCAGTTGACTGTGTAAGCAATGGAGAGTGAAGAAGAAAGATATGTCTGCGCGTCTGGGACTCGTGTACTTTTGGCATCTGAAGTCCTCTGGCATCGGCTCGGCTCCCTGTATTTTACCCTCAGTAAGTGCAAGGACTTCTGATCTTGAGGACACAGTGAAATAAATCAAATGTATTCCTTGTATGTGTGCCCACACAGCCTTATCAACCACTGTTCTGTCTACATACACACACTCTCTCATGAGGCGTTTTCGCATTTTATATGAATTATTCATTAGCTATATCCAAATGAAGATTTAATGGTAAAAGTCTCATATTTAGATAATTTACAAAATGTTAAACAAGACCGGTTTTAAAATTATTGCCTGGGGAAATTCCACTGTTTATATTTCCCCATCAAGAAACAGGACTCTGAAAACAGTATGGTGGTTCCTCAAAAAATTAAAAACAGAATTACCATATGGTCCAGCAATTCCACTTTTGGTACACACTCAAAAGAACTGAAAGTAAGGACTTGAAGAGAATGTGCACACCCACGTTCATAGCAGAATTATTCACAACAGCCAAAAGGTGGAAGCAGCCCCACTGTCCATGAACAGACAAATGGATCAACAAAATGTGCCACATAAATGCAACAGAATATTATGCAGCCTTGAAAAGGAAAGGAATTTTTTTTTTCATCTGAATTAACACTCTGTAAAAAGGGAGGGAATTCTGACACACGCTGCAACACAAATGAACCTTGAAGATAGTATGATAAGTGAAACGACCCACACACAAAAGGATGAAGACTGTGTGATTTCACTCCTGGGAGGTACCCAGAGTAGTCAAATTCAGAGAGAAACTGGACTGGGGCTGCCGTGGGCAGGGGAAGATGCTGTTCAAGTCTGGAGGTGCTGTTTTGCAAGATGAAGAGCTCTGGAGACGGACGGCAGTGACAACCGTACAACAGTGTGGACACTGAACTGTCAGCTTAAAAATGGGGTAGACGGTAAACTGTATGTCACATATTCTACCACAATTTAATTAAAAAGGAGAGAAACAGTCCTCTATACCTGCACTTTTTTTTTTTTTTTTTGAGACAGAGTCTCTCTCTGTCGCCAGGCTGGAGTGTAGTGGCACAATCTTGGCTCACTGCAACCTCCGCCTCTTGGGTTCAAGTGATTCTCCTGCCTCAGCCTCCCAAGTAGCTGGGATCACAGGCGCCCACCACCACCATGCTCGGCTAATTTTTTTTTCATTTTTAGTAGAGACGGGGTTTCACCATGTTAGCCAGATGGTCCTGATCTCCTGACCTCATGATCGGCCCACCTTGGCCTCCCAAAGTGCTGGGATTACAGGAGTAAGCCACTGCGCCCGGCCTGCCTTCATTTTATTTATGAAGAGACTGATACATTTTATATATGAGGAAAAGGCAATAAAACGATCCCAATGTCATGTATATTAGTAGCAGAATGGTGTTGATTCCAGAGCTCATGTTCTACCCTTTACATCATACTTCCTCAGAATCCCAAACTATGTCTTCCATTCTATTCATCCCTGACCCCTAGTCCATATGAAATCATAAGACTTGCCTTTGGTGTGTCAAGATCTTGTATTAATTCTTTCATGCTTTATGTCCAAGGCCTAGAACAATGCCCAGAGTAGGCATGCTGAATGAATGAAAGGCTTTTCATAGATCTGAGTAGCATATTCCTTGGGTTTTAGGGACTTGGAAGATGAAGCCGGGCGCGGTGGCTCACGCCTATAATTCCAGCACTTTGGGAGGCCAAGGCGGGTGGATCACGAAGTCAAGAGATTGAGACCATTCTGTTCAACATGGTGAAATCCTGTCTCTACTAAAAGTACAAAAAACTAGCTGGGCGTGGTGGTGCGTGCCTGTAGTCCCAGCTACTTGGGCAACTGAGGCAGGAGAATTGTTTGAACCCAGGAGGTGGAGGTTGCGGTGAGCCGAGATCGCGCCATTGCACTCCAGCCTGGGTAACAACAGCGAATCTCCATCCAAAAAAAAAAAAAAAAAAAAAAAAGGGACTTGGAAGATGGACAACAGTGTGGTGTGGGGGCTTTATGGAGAAGGTGTAGTAAAAGGTCTAATATATGATGTCATGGGGACTAGAGTCTGGTTAACAGAAAAAGTCAGTTAAAACTTCTATTTAACACTGTACCATAAAGTCAGCGTTTTCAAATGCCGTTCAAAATGTGTTCCAAATGCAAAAGGAAGAAATAAAAATGCAAACTCCATTTTTGTTATAACTAGAGGATATCCAAAATTCCAAACCCTCAAACAGGTAGAAAAGCTGTCAAAAACAGGGAGCTCAGGCAGGGACTCCTTCGCTTCACAGAAGGAAAAGAAGAAAGAGTGCTACAGGGAGAGGACACAGGAGCTGGAGATACCAGAAACATCTGCAAAAATATGTACTTCCTGTGGGTGAAGAACACACTCTGGTACCAAATTAGTTCCTTGTTTTAAGAAGGCAGGAACGTCCTTGGACCTGAAGTAGAGGCTAAATGAGAAATCACACCAGCTACATTTGTCTCACACTCTGTGGCAGTGGAGAAGACATCCTTTGCATGTGGAGATGCTGAGATACACCTTGCCTATCTCGATTGGCTGGCTAGAGACAAAGGGTAAATGAACTCACCCAGAACCCCAAGGCAAGGGAACAATGGCAGCCAGCCCAGAACACAGTCTTGGGAGCTCCCCCAACAAGCATCCTGCAAACAGCTGGTTCCTGAAAAATCTGCCTATTTAAAGACGCATATACAAAAAACCTCAACAAGATCTATATAAATATACGAGAAAAAATTAGGAAAGAAATAGGAAAACCAAATGGCAGACTAAGACCATAGACTGGAAAAAGGGCTCCATGACTAGATAAAGTGGTAAAACAATATTTTACACAACAACAAAAAAAGAAAACTTGATAAAATAGTTGCCTCATGAAACAAGAGCTCAAAGCTGAAATGCAGGGAGCTTTGGCAGACGCAGGGAGACAAGAAGAGAAGGCAAGCTGTACACGAGCAGAACTGAGGAAAGAAGTGAAAGGAAAAATACTGTTACAGAAATGAAGGTGAAACTGAAGAAGTGAAGGGAGAAGAGACAGTCGTGTGCTAAAAACACGCTAGGAAAAGGGGAGATACGGGAAAAATAAATGAAACCAAAAAGGGCTAAAAGGAATAGAGAGGAAACAGTTACAGAAGACAGGAAAGGAGATGCAACATTTGCATAAAAGAAAACTTTAACATGAATGCGAACGATATGTAAAGATATGTTCATAAAGATAGAATCCAAGATGTTTCTGAACTATAAGAGGACTGGGGTCTACATATTGAAAGGTCACACGGTATCCCAGGGAAAACAAAGTCAGAACAGGCAGTGCCAAGAGACACCTTTAGGTAAGATTTCTGGGTTTCTGCAACCAGGCAAAAAGATCAAATCACTTAAAAGAGGGGCAAAATCATGAAAATGTCCACATTAATATTTAATGCTAACAGGAAAAAGGAACAATATTGACAAAATTCTCAAGGACAGAAGTGTGACTCAAGGACTTTACCCCCAGTCAACTGTCCAGCAAGGGTAACAGAATAGGGACCATTGTTCCCAAGTATTTATTTTTCTTTTATTTTTTTTGAGACGGGAGCTTTGCTCTTTCTC